CGATAAAGGGGCCAAACAAGCTTACTGGAAGAAAGATAGTTTTTTAATAAATGGTGCTGGAAAAATTGGCTCTCTATATGCCGAAAACTAAAACTTGACCCAGGTCTATCACCATGCACTAAACTAATCAAAATGGATTAAAGAACTGAACATTAAAAGAGAAACACTAAATCTCCTGGAAGAGAAAGTAGGAGGATCTCTTGAAGACATAGGGATAGGCTAAGAGTTCATGAACAAAAATCAAATCGCACGGGAAATACTTGAAAGAATTAACTACTGGGAACACCTCTTATTGACTTGCACGTCAAAAGAAATTACCAATAAAGTGAAAAGACAATCCACAAATTTCAAAAAAATCTTAACTAATAAGCACTCAGACAAAGGTCTGCTCTCTACAATTTATAAAGAACTAAAGAACATTAGGGCCCCTAAATTTATAGAGACACAATCCACAATTGGGCATCCGAGATGAACATACACTTCTCAGAGGACAAAATTAAAGAAGTAAATATATGCAAAAATGCTCCTCATCACTAGCCATCCATGAAATGCAAATTAAAACAACACTGAGATACCATCTCACCACAGAAAGAATGGCTATCATAAAGAAATCAACTAACAACAAATGTTGGAGAGGCTGTGGGGAAAAGGGAACACTTCTCCACTGTTGGTGGGAGTGTAGACTGTTGAAAGTGTCATGGAAATCAGTGTGGAAACTCCTTGAAAACTAGGCCTGGAAATCCCATTTGAGCCTGCTATCCCCCTACTGGGAATTTTCCCGGAGGAACTGAAAGCATCATGTCATAGTGATATATGTGTACCTATGTTTACAGCAGAACAATTTGTGATAGCCAGATCTTGGAAACAGCCAAGATGCCCATCACATGTGAAATGGTTGAAAAAGATGTGGTACAGTGGAGTATTACTCAGCTATAAAGAATGATAAGCTCGAAGCCTTCATATTTAAGTGGATGCCACTTGAAGATATACTTATTAGTGAAATAAACCAGACCCACATGTGTAAATATTGCATTGTCTCCCTAGTATAAGAACTCAAAAGAGGAATTACATATAGAAAGTTACAACACAAATAAAAGGAAAGTGAGAACTTGAGGATTGGACAATGAGGAGTGGGCAAGGAGAAAAGGTGGGAAACATGACGGGGGCAAAGCCATGCATTTGTACACACGAGATGGGTGGGGCAGTGATCCTGGGGGACATCAGCAGGTTTTTGAGATTAGTGGTTGCCCGGTGGGATTCGCACCCTGACTAATTGTATATGCTGGTGCCTTTGAGCCAGGCGGCTGTGCTGAGGATGGCAATGTGTAATAGAGGGGTCACGCTTGGAGTGCCTGCCATCCTGGTCTTCTAAATATGTACTTCTTGACATGACATACCAATTATTGCCATACTGTCTCTCAAATAAAGGGGTTTTCTGTTATTATTTTGTTTTAAAAGGGTAATAAATGAAAAAAAAAAGACATAAGAATAAAAAAAAAAATTTAAAAAAAGTCACAAGTCTGTCCTGTTAAAATTCTGTATATGGTTAATTTCTAAATTTCTTTGTAAAAATATGCAAATGCTTATATTTCAACCTTTATAAAATTATTTTTCCTACATATTCTGTAAGGTCTTAAAGTTCAACATACCAATATTTAATGGAACATACCTGTTCCATGATATGCCAAAGATGTTTGATATTTAGACAGATAGGGTAAAGCAAGCTGCATGTATTGCAGGTTAATGATAAGCTTCTCTTCTGGAGGGTTAACAACCTAAGTTAGCAGTTCAAAATTGGAGAAAAGGAAGGGTTGCAAGGTCAGCCAACATTTTGGCCCTCGCCTTTCAAGGTCAGTGAAGACTCGGGACATAGGAGAACCTGTACTGTAACAACACGTAACTCAGTTGTGCTCCAAATTTTCTGATCAAGAAGATCATGGAGTCACAGAGGAATGTGATCAATGATATACAGTGTGCCTGGGGAGAGTCACATGGAGAGAAAAAACATTCTCTCAGGCTTTCATAGAGAGCAAAGTGCTCAATCCATGGCTGTGACTTATCCTCATGGCTGGCACTGACAAAGGATCTACAAAGTGCGGTACAGGGCTACGGGATAAATCCTGAGGGTACTTGGCTGACCTTATCAGATACAAAAGTTACATTTCTTGCTATATAGGTCTTGCTTTATCTTGTTCTTAACCACCCAGAAGAAAAGTATAAAAGTGAGGTATATAAAGTAAAGCCATGTTAATACAATGAGCTGTAAAAGGCCCAAGTCAATAACTTCTGAGGATATTATAGACTGCTAGACAGTGTTCGATTGTTTAGCTGAATTCAAACACCTCAGTATTTAGATGCCAATAGAATACCCACCTCTGACAGGACTAAACAAAAAAAAGGGGATACAAAGGAAAGATCATTTTGTATTCATATATACAAAACAGTTAGGATAGATATACAGCTGCTTTCACTTAATTCAATGAGAAGAAAGAGGTGCACTAACAGTGTTTGGCAGGACATCCTGTTTGCTTCTTGTACTATGGATAACCACTAAGAAGATAACAATGTACAATGTATTGATTATCGAAACTGTCCTATTATTCAGCTTTGAAACTGTCTCATTCATATTTATTTCTCAATAAAATAAACAAATAAAAAATTACAAAAAAAAAAAAAAAAAAAAAACCCCAAACAAACAAAGCTGGCATGAGGGGCTCTGGAGCGTGGTGCAGCACCCCTCATGCTGGGAACCCTCTTCCCCTTTCTAGCTCCTGTCGAGCTGGCAGTGGGGTTCTGATCCAGGAATGTCTGTGGCCACCCATGACCCTCCACTGGCCTGCAGAGCCACAGCCATGCCTATGTGCCTTTGCGCTCCGGTCTGCAGGGAAGGTCAGCTGAGCACCCGGGCACTGATGGCAACCTCCACTGCCAAGTTCAAACTTAAAAATAAATAGCCAGAAAAAGAAAATATGCCCAGCCAAATAAAAGTTTTTAAAAGCTTTATTTCTGAAAAGATAATGGAAGATACTACACTTACGAAGTAAGAAAAATAAGCTAAAGAGTGTTGGTGGGGCTAGTGAGATAGCTTGGCGGTCTAAGTGCCTGCCTGGCAAGCACAAGGATCTGGCTTTGATCCCTGGTCCCACATGCTACGCCAGCCCCCAGATCCCTGGGCGCACTGTGCCGGCCACCGAAAACAGGCATGACAGTGCATGTGTGTAATCCCAGCACTGAGGAGGCTGAGACAGGTGGATCACTAGGAGTCCAAGCTGTGTGGTGAGACCCTGTACCAAATACATAAAAGCTTTTTAAAACTTAAAAAAAGGGGGGCTTGAATATACTTCAATATTGAATTTATAATACAAAATGAAAACTTTTTTCAGAAAGCAGAATGGAGCTAGCACATAAATTTAGGGGCTGGTCCACGAGGACTGCATTCAGTGGCAGCTGCACAGCTGAGGGGTCCAAGTTCAAGGTCAGCCTTGGCAGTTTAATGAGACTGTGTCCAAAATAAAATATTAAAGGGAATAAAAGTATAGCACTGTACTGTTTAATCCAAAATTCTAAAAAAAAAAAAAACCTGAGATTACATAGAGAATAATCAGTAAGAAAGCCATGAGTTTCTAGAAAAATGGAGTTCACGATATACAATGAAAACAACAGTCACCCCAGAGCATTTCACTGCTGAAGCCTCTGAGAACTGGGGCGCAAAGGGAGAGGGCCATATATAAGAAATTAAGACTCCAAGTGGCAGCAGACTTCTGAACAGCAATACTGCTGAAGGTCAGAAGAAAATGCTTTCAAATTTCTGGGGAAAGTTTTCCAATACAGAATTCTATAACCCAGTCAGATGATCAATAAAATGTGAATAAGATGTTCAGCTATATAAGATCTCAAAATATTTACCTTTCTTAAGACTAATAGAGAAGTACTGAATAAAACAGAGGAAGCTAGAAGAGAAAGAAACAAAGTCAAGAAACACAAGCCCTAATTGGGGAAAAGAATACAAGAAGCTCATGATGCGAACCAAATTCAAAGTACAAGACCAGAGCAGACTTGAGCTTGAAGACAGGGCTCCAGAGGGCGGGAGTGCACAGGGAAGGAACCTTCTATGCCTGGACTTGAGCATGAATCAATGACAGGAAGAAAAGGAAGCAAATGGAAAGTGAGGTCCGTAGTGCCGGCCTCGCCGGCAGCCACGCTCTGGCTAGCAGCGCACAAGGGCTTTGCCAGCTTCAGGGCAGATCAGTGCTCTGGGCCGCAGCCTGGGCATGCGTCTCAACAGGACTGCTATCCCTGGATCGCACTCACCACAGTGGGCTTACAAGTAAGCTGTGGGAGCCCTACCTACCACACCCTCCTGAGCCTCGGCAGCCTTCCCTGCACTTCACTGGTCCCCGGGCCACACAGAGTGTGGCTCTGCCTGCCCCCCTCCCCGAGAAGGCAAAGCCATGCCCTTCCTAAGCTCCCATGCAGACCTACCGTGAAGCACCTCACGAAGGAGCCAGCTCACACTCAGGGGTTCCATATAGCCACTAATATTGCCAAAATGCACAGTAAAGACATTTTAAAGTACTTATGAAGGTTCGAGGTGTGAACATTCACATGTGTACTAAGACTCACCACCAGCTGACAAATAAATCTGACTTAGAAACAATTCTCCCACCACAGAACCTGTCTGTAAGTCACAGACTTACTATACATCTTTAGAAATTTAAATTTCTGTGTGACATTCAGAACAAATACAGATGCATAATAAATTCCAAGCCAGCAGCTCTGACCTGCATATAGTGAGGCCAGGCTGCTCCTGGCCCAGGGCTCTCTGGTGAGCTTTTTCCTACATTTCTATGCTACCAGGCACCCAATCCAGGGCCTCTCAGAGGTGACTGTGCAGAGCTGTCAGGGAAGAGGACTCCATTCTTGGGAAATGTTTTAGAAATCTTAACAGAGAGCTACTACCACCCACACCCATGTGCCACCCACCGCAGGGGTCCACTTACACCGTGAGCAAGGGTGCCGCTGCCGCCTTGTCGGTGGGGCTCCGCCCTCCCTCCTGTGGGGTGAGAAAGTTCACATGCTGTGAGTGCCACCAGCTTCGTGGAAATAGAATCGGAGCTTTGAACGTTACATAGTGAAGACTTGGAAGAGAGCATCTTCATCAGAGTTTATCAGTGCTCTTAATAGCACACTTAACACTTAACTAAAGAATAATATACAAAATTAAGGTTTTTTCTTTAAATGTTCCTTAGTTAAAAATATTTTTGAAAATAGTTGAAATCTGCCAGGTGTGGTGGCACATGCCTGTAAAACTGGCACTCAGAAGGCAGGGGCGGAAGGATCACCACAAGCTCAAGGCCAGCCTGGCCTATCCATTTAGCTGAAGGCCAGCCTGTACTACATAGCAAGACCCTGTCAGAGAGAGAGGAAGAGGGGGAGGGAGAGGGGAGGGGAGGGGAGGGCAGGAGGGAGGGGGTGAAATATTTCTGAAGCTAATTAGAAATACCTGGATGCAAATAACATAAAAGTCCATCAGAATGTGTCTCATACATTTTGTCTGTGTCTACTGCATAAAGGCGCAACAGCCCATTACTGAGCAGGTGTGGACCACCACACCTTAAACCAACCCGAAGCATGTATTTTTTTATAATACACTTTTCTTTTTGGCTTGTTGAGACAGGCTCTTGCTATGTAGCCCAGGATGGAGCACACAGCAATCCTCCCGCCTCAGCCTTCTGAGGCCTGGGCTCCCAGGTGTGTCCACCACACCCAGGATGGAGCACACTTTTTAAGAGGCACATGAACACACATGCTGACTTGGAGTGGGACCACTGTCTCACCTGGCATACTCGGCGCTGCTGAGGACTCTGCTGAGGCAGCCTGGTACGGCAAATCCGTGTTCAGCTGTAGAAGGTAGCCCTCCACCGTGGGCACCTCGTCCCACTTCACATGGAAAGAACTGGTGGTGGCCTTGATCAGCTGCACCTGGGATGGCGCCAGCGGTTTCTCTAAAGAACAACATTGATATGCATTTATGTTTCAGAGATACCAAGACTTTGCCTATGAACTCTGTGTGGGCTGGGCTTTGCAAACATCAGTAATATTTCATCTGTTTACCAAGTCAGATAACATAGCTACAGTAAGTCAAATGAAAACTGTGTGAGACTGACTCTACTTATGTCATTCTTTAAACAAATGAAATTATCCAGTAAGAAATTAATCATTGGATTCAGAAAAAAAGTTTAATTATGGGGGAAGCATTATGTAATTACAGCTACATTATTTTATCTTGTTTTCAAGTTCCATCTTTTCAATTTTATGAATTAATTTTGAGTCAACAGCATAAATATTGTTAATGCTAGTGAAGAGGACCTGGACATGATATTTTAGACAAACAACTTTTCTAAAGTAACAGATTTGAACTACCCAGAACATGTGATCTTGTCATAAAGTGTCATGAACCGTTCTTTTGACGATCATGGATGCCTACAGGTGGAAGAAGGGCCGGGGTAATTTCTCCCAGCCCTCACACCCTTTCCTCTAGTCCTGATCTGTCAGGGGGTCCCAGGGCAGACCACATGCGAGTCTCTGGACAGTTCCACAAGCAGCTGCCTCCCCCTGATGTGCAGACCTCTAACTCCCCAGCTCACCCTTACAGAACCAGCCTGTCCACCATCCGCCTCACATTTAAACAGCTACCTTCAGAGCAGGGCTTGGCCCACATACTGTGGCAGCCGAGCACTGTTTACTGAAAGCAGCCATGCTCCCTGCTTCTATGTCCCGTGCACAGCCACTTCAGGCTGACGCGCAGCTGAGCAGCTACAGGACCATCGGGCATTTACCAACTGCAAAACAACGTGGCAGCTCTGTTTTAGAGGATGAGGAAGCCTAGTTTCTTCAACTTGTCCTACATGAATCCCTCTGTGGTCCTATTAACAACGCAGTCTTAGGAGGCTTCTCAAAGTAAGGCAACCTATACCTTAACAAAAGCACACATTCAGTCCAGAAAGCAAGCCACTGGAAGGACACAAATCATGTGAAGAACAGAAAAACAAAACTGCCAGGAACTGAAGAACCAGACTGAATGGCCCCACAGAGGATTCAGCACACAGATCAAAAATAGACCCATAAGAACATCATGAAATTAGAAAACAATGGGGACACAGAAAAATTTCAAAAGCTTCCAGGGAGGAAAAAGGCACACTACAAAGAACTGCTGAGGCACAGCTGTGTGGGCCTGTAGTCTTGGCTGCTTGGGAGGCTGAGGTGGGGAGATCACGCAAACGTGAGGCCAGTGTGGGCAACATATCAGACCCTGTCTCAAAAATAAAACCAAAGAGGAACAGCAAAAGTAACTGATGGGAGGGGACTGCCTGAGACAGAGCGCTGTCCTAGTATGAGGGGGCCTGGCAGAGGCGAGGCTGAGGGGACTCCAGGAGAGACCCCCTGAAGGTGGGTGCGCCCTTCAAGACGATGGCCCTGGACAGCACACAGATGCATCTGGCATGCTGGGACGCTTCACGGGGCCCGAGTCATGTGAACCACGGGAAATAATCAAGTCCCCAGGCTGCTTTTCCAGGCCCACGGCAAGCTGCTGTGGGGGCTTGCCTGCAAAGGAGAGGCGCACAGCGAGGAGTGGGAGGCGAGTCCTTGGCCTCCAGGGTGCAAAGTGCGCAGCATGCTAGAGCTAAACTGACAAAAGCCAAAATACCAAGACAGCAAATGCAACAACACAGACAAGGAAGTGAGCGCCCCAAGAATCATTCCCTGGAGTGGGAAGAAGACACTTCCACAGACGGGATGGGCAGGTGAAGAAAGGGGGCAGTGACCCAGGAGAGCCTATCAAGTTCTAGTACTCACTTAAATGTTACCAAAGAGGCAGCTTTGCTGAAAGTCAAAAGAGGGCAAGACAATGCCCTGTCCCACTCCAAGAAGGGGGCCAACTTACCAAAAGGAAATGCAAAATCTAACTTCGGCCCCTATGACAGCAGCCATGACTACTTTTAGGAGGTACTGGTGTCTTTAAAGCTTTTTTTGTAAATCCATGAAAAAGACACCCACTCAGACTTGATGGTTTTTGTCTTTGAAAGTCATAGACCCCTAGGAAAACCTACTTTAAAACATACATTCCTGCTAGGCGTGGGGGTGCATCCCCAGAATCCCAGCGCTCAGGAGGCTGAGGCAGGAGGATTGCTGCGCATTTGAGGCCAGCCTGAGCTACAAAGAGAGTTCAAGGCCACCATGAATGACAGAGTGAGATCCTATCTCAAAAAACACATAACACAACACAAAACAAAACAAAAAACCCATCATAATATTTCTCATAGGGAAAAATTCCTATGTCTGTATATGAATTGGATTTCAAATAGTAACTTCCAACTTGAAAGAAGAATTAGTAAATTGGACTTCCATATTTTTCTGTTTACTCATAAGTGCTTCTTCCATAGAAAGTGTTTAGTCTCTAATTCAGCTGTTTTATTATTTTTTCAATTAAGATAATTTTAGTATTAAGTTTTTTATATTTCAAAGATAACAGATACTACTGCAGAAAACACAGATAAAAGAAAAAATTCTGAAAAAGTATATCATCCATAATCTCAGCTCTCAGATAACACTTCAGCGTGTATTCCGGGTTTTCTACTTATATGCCTAGAAAGCTAGTCACAGAGACGTTTCAGTCTGCTTTCCTCCCTGCACAGCACAGACTCTGCCCCAGATCTAACTTCCCAGTGGCTGCCGGACTTGTTCGTCTGCTGACCTGCTGACCTGACGTCATTTGCAGCTTAGCATGGTCTAAATGGAACATTTAGTGTTTCTTCACAAGGCTGCTTTTTTGTTTTTCTTTTTCTTTGCTTTTCTTTTTTTTTTTTTTTTTTTCCTTTTGAGACAGAGTCTCACTATGTAGTTTGGGCTGAACGTGAGCTCACTTTGTAGCCCAGGCTGGTCTCGAACTCACAACAATCTGCCTGTCTCCGCCTCCTGAGGGTACCTTAAAAACAATGCAAAGGAACACAAGACTCTCTGGTTCAATCCCCAATACCACTTACAAAAAGGAAATACACGAAAACAACTCTCCCTCGCCTGCACAGCCCATGCGGCCGGCGCTGGTCACCTCCTGGCCCCCCAGCCCGCTCTCTTCCCCAGGCACTGCTGGCCTTGCTACTCTCCCGGCAGGGCACTGGGCAGCTCCTTCTCCCGACAATGGGTGCCCCTAGGCACCCCCATGAGACTGAAGCAGCCACGCAAGCTGGGCCCAGGGGCTCCCTCACCGGCTCAGTGTCCTGCACTCCCCAGAAACCAAGCCTACGTTGTTCACAAAGCTGGACATCAGCCCTCTGCCTTCCCCGCTTTTCAAAATCTGAGCTGAATATGGGGCCTTATCCGTGTTGCTGCTCACCAGTGAATTCTTAGCACCCAGAACATTTCTTTCTTTCTTTTTTTTTTTTGGTGGAACCGGGGATTGAATTCAGGCCCTCGTGCTTACCAGGGAAGCGCTTATTCCACTGAGCCATCTCCCCTCTGAACATTTCTTGCTATGCAGCTGTTGCTATGCATTTATTGAAAGTGGATGTTAGTTCCACATTTACAAAATTCTTGGTGCTATACAAATTTTCCTGTATAGCAAACAAATACTAATAAAAAAAGAAAGATAATTCTGAAAGGCGTAAAATGAGTATAACAATAAAAATGTGTGTGTATCTTAAAAATAAAAGTTAAAAATTTTTGTGGCCATTTTATTTTTGTTACCAGGGATTGAACTCATGACCTTGCGCTTGCCAGGCAGGTGCTTATGCTGCTGAGCTATTTCCCTGGCCCAGCAATTTTAGATTTACAAAGAAGTTGTCAAGTTAGCACAAAAGTCACAAGAACGCTGGCATACACCTTCTCCTCAGCCGCCCTCCGGGCACTTGGTGGCCAAAGCCAAGAAGGCTCCGCGTGTGCTGCTGTCCACCCGACAGCAGGGTGCGAGCTCAGGCGCTGGCCCCTGCCCTAGCCCAGTGCGGACCCCACGCTGCATTCACCTCCCCTGCTCCCCCGGGGCTCCTCCTCGAGCCTTCTCACTTGGAAGCTTCTGACGCCTCCACATCTGCACAGTGTCTGGAGCACCCCAACTGGTCTGGCGGGGGTCTGCAAGGTGAGATTTGGATCTCCAGGAAGAGAGCCACCGGGGTGAAATACCTTTCTATCACGTAAGTGCCAGGAGGTCAAGGACCTCACTAGCCGCGATAACTGGACCGACTGACCGGGCAGCACGAGCTGGGCCTCACCACTGCAAGGCCACTGCTGTTCCCTCCCACACTCCTCTCTGGAAAGGAGTCTCTCGATCTAAGCTATACTTGAGGGGCGAAAAGTAATATGCTCCCTGGCTATGTGTTATTATTTCTTCCCCTCACTCTTAATTATAGGAATGAGAAACTGTGGTTATTACATGAAGTCTTAAAAGACACATTATTTGAATATTTACTTAAAGGAAAATTTTATTTGTTAAATACTCTTACCTACCAGTATCAAGATACCAGAGATCCTTGCAGCAAACTTGGCTATTCAGTGCTTTTTTGTAGCCATCTCTTCCACTCCAAAAATACAGCCGAGTGCCAATTGCAACAGCGCAGTGTCCGGCTCTAGGCCTTGGTCTTGAATTTTTTTTATCTTCCTGAGAATCTGATACTAGGGTGGTCCATTCTGCCGTATCTAAAAAGACAGAAATATACATGCCCAATGTATTGTTCTTAAACAACATGACCAACTTTTTTTTTTACTAGTAAATGTTATTTCAATAACATGATAAAACTCACCTAGATTTAGGTAAGAAAATGAACTGGTACACCTCCATTCACAATCATGAGGTGAAGTCTCCATATTTTCGCCTTTATGTGGGACCCATCCTCCAAAGATATACATCCTGAACAATGCAAAAGCACGAACATAAGGTGGCTGAGTTAATTTTACTTTTTTGACTTGAAAAGCTAACAATGAGCTTAAATGTTTTGTTGAAAGTGTCAGGACTATTCACTCACTTGACTCACTAGTCAAGATAACTGGGATAAGAAAATGAATACAGTGATATTCTTTCAAGAGTTCACAATTTTCATCTGGGCAGTGGTGACTAGCATAGTTCTGGCTACCTGTGAGTGTGAGGCAGGGGGATCAGATGAGCTCAGCCTGTACAACTTAGTTAATCTCATCTCAGAAAGAAAAACACAATACTACGACCTTACAGTTTTCTGAAGCAATACTGACTCAAAATTATTTTTCTCTGACAAGCGTCTTAAAATCAGTAATATTTAATTGCAATTCTTTTGGAAATTAACACTGTGTATAATATAGTAAGGGCATAGTCAGTGGTCTACAACATCAAGGGCTGACCAGATAGCTCAGTGGACTAAAGTGCCTGCTTAGGAGGCACAGGGAGCAGGGTTCAAGCCCGTGTGTGCCACGCCAGCCCTGCACCTGGGGTGCGCTGAGACAGCGACTGAGACTGGGTGTGGTGATGTGAACCTGTAATCCCAGCACTTGGGAGGCTGAAAACAGGATGCTCACTACAAGTCTGTTCTATGTAGTGAGACCCTGTAACAAATACTGTGGTCACTGATATTATTTAAGTGAAACACTTGAAGCCAGGTGCAGTGGTACATACCTGCAGCCCTGGCTACTCTGAGCATCACTCAAGCCCAGGAACCGGGAGCTGCCTGGGCAGCACAGAAACCCCAGCTCACAATTTGTAATAAGGAGCCAGGAGCACAAGGACCTGGGTTTGATCCCAGGTACTGCATGCGTGCTGGCCCCACCCTGGGCCTGCAGAGCCAGTCTCAGAAACCAGGTGTGCTGGCACACACTTGTAAGCCCAGTGTTGGGGAGACTGAAACAGGACAATCACTAGAGTCTAAGCTATGTAGTGAGACCCTGTACCAAGCACATTAAAAAAAAAAGAAGAAAAAAAACAAAATAAAACATCTGACAATGTCCCACAGAGCCCCAATGTTCCAAAGACTGCTGACAAAAACAGCTCAGCAGGCCATATCAAGGCCTTGTGCCACCCATGCCACCCAACCAGAGAGGCCCTGCTTCCTGCTGTTTTACATAGTAGGCTGGGGGTGGATACATATTACAAAAGGATGCTACAGTTTAAGAGTGTATTTTGTATGATTTCATTTAAGTATAAAGATTATTCTGATTGGTTTTTGAGTTATTTTAAGAAACCTAGTGAAGTTCTAAATTGTAACTCAATAGTTTCCTGAAACATTATTATTTTTGTTTTGTTTTTTGAGACAGGGTCTTGCTATATAGTTTAGGCTGACCTTGAACTCACTATATAGCCCAGGCTGGCCTCAAACACACTGTGATCCTCCTAAATGCTGGGACTACTGGCCTGCACCACCACACCTGGCCTGAAACATTGTTTTTAAAGTAAAATCCCCACACTAATAAATACTCCATTAAGCTCTACTTAAATGGTGCCTCTAATTACAGCCCAGGGTTGCACAAACAAGGAAATGTGGTAATGGCAGCAACCGCTAACCTTTATGGCTGTTCGGAGGGCCCTAAGTGGTTCTGAGCACTGTTCATGTATTAATCCACCTAAGCCTCATTACAGCCTAGCAAAATAGGTTTTACTTTAATCCCCATCATGTGCTTAAAGGAACTGAGGTCCACACAGATGCATTCAATTTCTCTGCCCCACGTTACACAGGACAAGTCCCACAGCTGGCCTGAGGGCGGAGGAATCTAGTTCCAGAGCCCACGTCTAAGCATAACTCCATCTTTCCATCTGAAGCATCATCCCTGAGAATGTGCGCCTGAGTCCAACCACACCCCCCAAAAGCACGTCCACAGAGAGGGGAGGCAGGGGCACAAACCCGCTGAGAAAGGGCAGGGCACTCGGACTGTGCCGGCCTGCAGCCCAGGCCCTGCCTACCGGGGCAAGGTGCTGAGCGGGAGCTCAAGACGGATGAAAGACAATGACGAGAAAGGGCACTCGGGTATTTCAGCTTCCACTGACAAATTATTTTAACTTCAGTAAGCAAGATGAAAGGCTAAGTCCAGTCATCTACTTCCAAGAGACTTGCGGCACCACTTTTCTTTCTGGTTCATCTTTCTTCAGTATATATATTTTTTCAACCAAAAGCAAAAAACAAAAACATGCCATACTTGTTTCCTATAACACTGGCTGTGTGAAGGCTTCGTGGAAGTGGCACTGTTCCTTTAGTTTCTGGTTTTGACCATGACATAGTTTCTAAAAGTAAAAATAAGTATATTAGCATCTCTACCTAATAATAGCAAATGACCTCAACCTATATACTTTTAAAAGCACTTATGAAAATAAAGCAAAAATGTTTAAAGCTATTTAAACTTTGTCTTAAGCATTGCCAGCTGACAGTCACTCCCAGTCAGAGCTCCATCTACACCTGGATATGTGAGCATTTGTGAGGAAGGATCTTTTTTTTTTTTTTTTTTTGCCGGTACCAAGACACAGGACCTTGCGCTTGCCAGGCAAGAGCTTATTCTACTGAGCCATCTCCCCAGCCCAGGAAGGCGTCTTAGAGTGCCTTGGATTTTGAACTAAGAACAGTACTGGTCATCTTAAATAAGATGAGCACACTGTGGTGAAGACAGCCAAGGTGACAGGCACATCTTCCCTCCAAGCAACCCCTTCCGAAAGAGCTACCTAAGGGTTTCCCACTGCTGAGCAGTCCCTCGTAATGCCACCTTGCCCATAGACGGAACACTCACACCGGACACTCCTGGGCATGAAAAGGGCTGCTACTGATAATCCCACAGGATGAAAAGCAGAGCGCAGGGCCAGCCTGCAAGCCACGGCCAGCAGAGACACTGCTTCTATGTCAACTGCCACAGACTGAACATGCATTAGTTCAGCGGCAGCTCGCTGTTCTGGGGACAGGAAGTGCAGCGCAGCTCAGTAAGCACTACAAGCAGGAGTATATTCCAAGCAACCCTAAAATGTGCCCTTAGTTGTCACAACCTACTGCTGAGCCAAAGCCAGTTGGGCTTACCGATGTCAAGCTGCCATAGGTCATCTAGGCGAGCACCACACATTCCTCCAAAAACAAACATCTGAGGGCTCCCAGAACCCTTTCTGCAGTATATGACAGCCGTGTGGGATTCTCTTGGAGAAGGCACAAGCCCCTTCGTGACTGGGATGTTCCAACCCACAACGCCAGAACCATGCTGCAGCTCCAGCTCATAGAAATCATTTAAATATCTAGGACAGAATGAAATAAGTGGACATTCTCATAAAAGGCAATACTGTCGAATATGAGAAAACAAAAGTGAAAGCCCTCTAAAAATTCAAAAGCCAAAAAAAGACCTGGAAAAATATTTGGATATATGAAAGAATTGATTATTTTTTTCTTTTATATGTAAAGAATTTTGTGAAAATGATTAGAAAGAAATTAGTTCAGCAATGTCACAGGAGACAAACAAAGCCAACTATATTTCTATATATACTAGCAGTGAAAAATCCAAAAATGAAATTAAGAAAACAAATTCATCAATACTGTCATCAAAAAGAATACAAACCTTAGGAATTTCAAAGAGCAAGAGGAGCCCGACTCGTACACTGAAAACTATACAAGAAAAGAATAGTGATAGTTTGGAATAAATCGGAAAGCATGTGTTTATGCAAACTACTTCTTGAATGAAAGGAATGAGGGCTTTAATTTTATAGTCGTAGTCTTGTCACCCAATTCCCAGGGAAACCTAGTTGGGTGGTGGGTGGGTGACAGAATGAGGTGGCCTGGAGTGAGCTGGCTCAGGACCTTGGACACTGCTAAGCCAGCGCACTGCTGCTGAGCTACGTCCCCAACCAGGAAACCTATTTTAAAAAACCATCAGTTACTTTTCATTATCATTTGTGGCCTAGCTAACAACCATTACAGGTCAAGATATACAAATATGCTGACACAGCAGTTATACTAATATCAATTTAATAGTATGATTTCTCAGAGAAGACAGTCTGAGAACATATTCCAAAGAAATAAGAAACCACAAATAACCCCCCCCCCCAAAAGTGTTCTTGTGAGATGTAATGCAAAAAGCTAAGCTTCATCCCTTATAATAGTCTAATGCCTATAACTTCAGCACTCTGTGGAGGCTGAGGGAGGAGGATCACAAGTTTTAGCACAGCCTGGGCAACTTAGTAAAACCCTGCATCCAATGAAAAATAAAAAAGGACAGATGATCTAGATCAGTGTTAAAATCCCTGGGTTCAATCCCTTACAGTGAAAACAATTTAAAGATAGAAGAAATAAATATCCCTAACCTAAATCATAAAATAAACACTTGGTCTGAAAAAAGAGCGTACCTTGGAACGTTATTGTTTGAATCTTCACTTTCATTTGCCAGACCACCAAACAAATAGCATTTGTTGCCATACAAAGAGAAACTATGTCCCAGCCGAGGGCAGGGAGGTAAACCAGAAGGTGGGGGATGGGGCTTCACCTTCTTCCACAACCAGCGACTTGCCTGAAAAGAGGAGCACAAGTGCGTGCAGACATCAGAAGGAAACACTGCGTTTTAGAAATAATGACAAGTAAAGCTGCAGGTAAAGGTGGAGAACTATTCCATAAGGATACAAAAATCAAAAGTGTAACATACACAAGCCAGGCTAAATAGCAGACACCTCAATGTTACAAATGTTACCCTCTGCATAAAAAACAACTGTATGCTATAAAATTTAATTTTGGAATGAACACATACTTTCCAGTGGGAATTCAGATTAGGGTCAGGGAGGTGGCACTGTCTATTCAGATTCTGGTTTTGTCCATGACATAGTTTCTAGAAGGAAAATAAGAACATGTAGGGGCCGGCCAGATGGCCAGGGGACTAAAGCGCCTGCTTCAGCAGACGCAGGGAACCAGGTTTCAATCCTCAGTGTGCTGTGTGGACCTGGGGGCCCCACTGAAACTGGGCATGATGGCGCGCACCTATACTCAGCGCTTGGGAGGCTGAAAACAGCAGGATCACTAGAAGTCCAATCTGTGTAGTGAGACCCTGTAGACCCTTTACTAAAATGCATTTTTTTAAAAAAGAACACATAAACAGATTTCCACAAGGGCACAGTAAACTTATGATAATAATAATAAACACTAATAATTTCAACGCTCCCAAGTTAATAATTAACTATTTATTACACTGCATGTAACTTTAGGATTAAATGTAACATATACATTTTTACTTTCTGGTTTGAGGTGATTTATAAATGTTTAGGTATTTTAAAGTTTGAGTAAATATAAAGCTCATTTAACAAACCAAACTATAAAATTTATTCTCTGGCCATGAATATCTTCTCTACCTGAAACAGTTTTGAAATAAGCTGCTCATGACAGGTGTAAGCTACGCATATCTGCTGAAGGATCAGCAGATATCCTGGGGACAAGACCCTGGGGACACACGCACAGATCCAGAAAAACAGGAAGCAAGGGCTATAAGTCTGGTTCAATGTGCCAAACTCAGAAAAGTTAAATGAAGCCCTAGCCCCTCTTTTGCATATCACTGAGAGGGAGAAAAAAAAAAGTAAAGTTTAGTATTAAAGGCAGCAATTCCTGTAACAATAAAACAGTGATTTCCCAAGCACAGTGCAAAAATCAGCAACATCAGCAAAGACCTTCATAGGAATGCAGATTCTCAGGCCTTACAACTGACATAACTGCCTTAGAAACTGTGGGGGAGGGGCTAAAGGTGGAGACTAGTCCATAAGGATATGAACATCGAAAGTGTAACACACACAAGCCAGGCTAAATAGCGGACACCTTAATACTATGAATGTTACCCTCTGCATGAAAAACAACTATATGCTATAAAATGTGAATCTGGGTTAGCCTGGATAGCTGGGGGGCGGGTAGGTGCCACAAAGACAGGAGAATCACAAGTTCAGGTTTCAGGAAAATAAAAAGGACCTGTGATTTTGATTCCCAGTAGTGTGTGCACGTGCGTGCGTACACACACACACACACACACACACTCTCTCTCTCTCTCTCTCTCTCTCTCTCTAATAAAATGTGAAGCTCATATTATTTTAAATGTTAATAAAATATTTTGCAATCTTTTGAAGAATTGTGAACCACATTATTAAAGCTTCAGACGGAAATGATAGATTTTCACCACACTTACCTGTAACTCATATAACTCATTGCTGTATCTTCCATATTCAACCATTCCCCCAAACACCAATATCCTGGTCCCGTCGCAGACAAATCCATGGGCAGCACAGCCTGGTGGGATGTCTCCTCTAACAGCTGGTAGGAACCACTGATTCGTAGCTGGAAGGCAAAATACAATGACATCACACCACAGTTAACACACTCATGAGTATGTACTCTCTACATATCATCTGTATCAGTGAAGCTTAACCAGGGATGATTCTGCGACCCCCCCAGGATACTGATTAGGCAATACACTGAAACATCTGGAGTTGAAACGTCTGGGAGTGAGACACTACCAGCCAGTAGTAGGCACAGGCCAGGGCACTGGCAAACATCTCATAGCGCAGAACCACTGGGCCTAAAATGTCAGTAGTGATACTGGAGAAAAGCCCTTATAAAAGCCCTACATGGGGGTGGGGAGATGGCTCAGTGGAATAAGCGCTTCCCTGGCAAGCTCAAGGGCCTGAGTTCAGTCCCTGATTCCGCAAAAAACAAAACAAAAACCCTACCAGGTATCATCTCCATTTAAAAATAAAAAGAGCCAGGCATGGTGGCGCATTCGGGAGACAGAGACAGGAGGATCACTGTAAGTTGGAGACCAGCCTGGGCTACAAAGTGAGCGTAAGGCCAGCCTGACCAGCACAACTTGAGACTCTGGGGTTAAATGTTTTCAGCAACTTTAATGTTAACCCTGGCAACTAGCAGAGCAAGATTCAAATTAGGGGTCATAGGTTCCAAAGCCAGGGACTTTACACTATGCCCCTCCCAAGTAACTTCTCAATCTTCTGTGCTGGGGGAGTCAGGAGGAAACGAGGGAAAAAGTAACAAAACTTTCTCTATTGCACTCTTCGGATCAACTTGAACCCACCGCGGTAATTAAGTTGTCTGCTCACAGAAAAGTTGTTGATCATGACATAAACGCACAATTCTGCAATGTCCCTTACACCACCAAGAAAGATTTCTCCCGACAGCTGCAAGGTCGACAAGTGGGAAAACTGAAATTCCAAGCTCAAAGGCAGGCCTCCCTGGCCGGCGGCCCCCGGGGTGGGCTGGGCGCTCCCGGGTCCCCGCTCCGGGCGGAGAAGTGCCCAGGACGCGCGCACTAGCCGCGCGCACCGTGCTGGCGGTCGGGAGGGCCGGATGCATGCCCACGGCGATCTCCACGGCTGGGAGATTCCCTGCCGTCCGGGATGCTGGACCGCAGGCCTCTGCGCTCCCTCCTTGGCCGGAGGAGGGACCTTTTCCTCTCGAAGAGGAGAGGAGGCAGACAGGGCCGGCAAAGGCCCGGGGAGGAACGGGAGGCAGCGGGTCGGGGGCTTTGACAGCGGAGGGTTTCGGGCTCCCGAAGCGGGAGGGACCCGGGGCGGAGGCTGAGGCGGGAGGGTCACGGCGCAGGACCCGGCGGGTGCCCCCAGGCTCCCGAGGGCGCGGCGGGCCGGTCCTCCCGGCCCAGTGAGCGGGACGCGGCGGTGACAGCTGTCAGGCCCGGGCCGCCCGCCGCCCCTCCCCCGCTCCCGCAGGCGGGGCCCGCCCGCCGCCGATGCCGCGGCGCCTACCGGTGTTGTAGACGTGCAGCTCGTCCGCGATGCCCTCGTTGCCGCCCCCGAAGATGATCATCAGCTCCCGGATGGCCACGGCGCGGTGTCCGTGCCGGGCGCGGGGCACCGGCCCTGTGGAGGAGGAAACCCGCCTCCAGTGGAGGAGGCTGGGAGCCGCCATCTTCCCAACCCCCGCCCCTCTGCCCACAATGCCGCGCGAGCTCCGCGGGAGGGCGGGGCGCCCCCCCCGGAGAGGGCATCACGTGATCGAGGCCTCGGAAGCCCCGCCCACACCGGGGTGACGTAGCCGAGGGGCACCCTCGTCCAGGGGTGCTGAGGCCTCTAGGGGCCCTGGGAGCGCCGCGCGGACCCTACTCCGGCTGGGGGCTTCGGGGAGAAGGTGCAGAGAGGCCCCGGCCGTCCCCTCTAACTAAGCGTCCTACCTGGGCATCCTCCGAAGCTCACCCGCGCCCGGCGCGCTGGTCCTCTGCCCGCGGCCGTGGCTGTGCAGGCGGGTGCCGCAGGTACCAGGACTCCAGGAGCTAAGGAAACCCGGGTCGTTGGCACCAGGCCACGGGCGGATCGCACCCCCGGGGCAAAGGCTGAGATTTTTATATTTGATTTCCAGGAACACCGTCTTTGGGCCATGGGTGTTCTGCCGACCTCCTGTTAGGCGTTTGATGGCTGACGCTGGCTTTGCTCCACAGTTGGAGTAGAGTGTCCTTGGCATGACTAGAAACAGTCCTTCCGGGTAAATTTGATTAACAACTATGCAAAGATTGATGTTATTATCCGTTGGGTCATCAGAATACAGTGTAGATGTTTGTAGTTGGAGGGACTTCGGGTGGTGTATTGGAGAGGGGAAGAGGTGGTAATCTTGAAGTCCTGAGTGAGGAGGTGTGCAGAACTTGCAAAGTGGAGACGTAGGGCTATGTCATCTGCACATCGCTCTGCGGCAGTGTAGCCTTGAAGGAAACCAGGGTAAAATCATTCAATGGACCCTTCTGGTACAGGTCTGCAGTGCTGGGAGTACAGGGTGCCCAGCAGGCTCGCTTCAAGAAGGTTGTCCCCAAAATGCGGGACGGAAGGTCACTTCCAAGGCTGCCCAGCTGCCCAGCAGAAGCAGGCCGACCTCTGCAGGCTGTGCAGAGTTTAGGAACAGCCACAAAAGGTGAGATGGTTTGATTGAAAAGCAGGTGAGAGGTGACGTCGGGGTTCCTTTTAACACCCTCCAGGGGCTCCCATGACCTGTTTCTGCCCTAGTGCCTGCAGTGTATTAACACATTCTTTGCAACAGTCCAGCCAGTGGTCACTGTCGTCTGCTGCTCCTAATGGGGAACGGGGCACAGAGCAGTAAAACAATTCTTTCTGGCATCGTGGTGGTGTGTGCTTGTAAACACAGCAGATAGGAGGCTGAGGCAGGAGGATGGCATCGAGTTCCAGGCCAGCCTGGACTCTACGATGACATTGAAGCCATCCTGAATACGTATGGAGACCCTGTCTTGAAAATCCCTTCCCAAAATCATTTTGAAATTCCTTTCAGACCTTCCTAAACTGAATTAAGGATCACAATAACATTCTGCAATGGAATCAGCATAAAGCCCAAGATAATTAGCTTCTGTTTAGTCTCTATGTATGTTCTAGTTTGTGCTGTTTATTCTTAAATATACTGTAGCTGCAGTTATTAAACAATTTAAAAATAAAAGGGCCAGCCAAATAGCTCAGCAGATTAAAGTGCCTGCAATCAGGCGCAGCGGCCAGGGGTTGTTCCTGGGCCTGCTGTGCCAGCCCCACCCCCCCACGGCCCGCTGAGCCAACAGTTGATACTGGCCATGGTGGTGCGCTCCTGTAATCCCAGCATTTGGGAGGCTGTAAACAGGAGAATTACTAGGAGTCCGTTCTAGTAGTGAGACCCTGAACACCCTGTAGTCCCTTCCCTAAAATACAAGAAAAAAAAAAAAAAGGAAAATTAAAAAATAAGTGATTCTTGCTACAAAAACACTCAAGTGGTAATGTGAGATGATGTGTATGTTCCTCTGTTCCTTTCACTACCATAACTATTGAAATATATCCCATAATGTCATGCTACATGCTGTCTTGATTCCTTTCTCGTTGCTAGGACAAAATACTGAGTACCCATGAGTTAGATGTTTATTTTAGTTCCCAGCCTGTAGAGGTTTCAGCCCATGGTCAGCTGGCTCTGAGGCAGGGTGGCAGGGCAGAGGAGTCCATGGAGGGCAGCAGGAAGCAGTGAGCCATGGAGGGAGGAGGAAGGAGACTGCCCTGTGCAGGCCTCGCCCACAGGGGCTGCCTCTTCACGCCAGGCTTCAGCTCCCAGCACCACACCCAAGTCTGACTTCATGGTGGACTTATCCAGGGTCCCACCCATGATCCAGTCACCCTCCCACCAAGTCCCAAGAGGCTTCTGGGGACATCTCGAGATAAGTCATCACTCATGCCTTGAATATGCACAATAAAATGTGCTTTAAAAAAAATGAAGCCGGGGATATAGCTCAGCAGAATAAGCAGTTGCTTGGCAAGCACAAGGTCCTGAGTTCAATCCCTGGTACAAAAAAAAGTCTGGCAGGGAAGCCATGACCCACCTGAAACAATTTAAATATCTTTTCCAAATTCTGAAGAAGCTGCTGGAAGGATGATGCGTGCTGCACACAGGCTGGCAGCTAAGTGGTCCAAGCGCTTGCTTAGCATGCACCAGGCTGTAGGTCTGATACCCAAAGAGGGCAGAACAAAAACAACGTACAGCTAAGTTCCTAATGTTCCTTTTCCCTCGTCTTGTTATTTTTAGTTTCTCTGCTGTAACCCAACCATACTCCTCCATCTGAAGCATGCTCTTTACCTTCTCCTCTATATAAGATTTCTTTTGAGAAATCATTTTTCACTCTTTCAAAAAGAAATTCTAGAGGTGGCAAGATAGCTCAGCAGACTAAAGCACCTGCTTTTAGGCAAGCGTGGGGCCCCTGGTTTAATCCCCTGTACCACATGCCTTGCCAGCCCTGCCCCAAGGGCAGGCTGAGAGTCCAGGCATGGAGGTGTATGCCTGTAATTCCAGCACTGGGAAGGCTGAAAGCAAGAGGATCACTGTGAGTCAGAGCTGCATAGAGAAAAAAGAGAGAGAGAGACAGAGACAGAGACAGAGACAGAGAGAGAGGAGGGGGAGGGAGGGCAAGGGAAGGGAAGAAAAGAAAGAAAAAAAGAAATTCCAGTTGGGTGTAGTGATATACCTGTAATCTTAACTTCAGGGCCGAGGCAAGGGGATTGCTCCAAATTCAAGGCCAATCTGGGTTCCATAAAGAGACTAGCTCAAAAAAAAAAAAGCTTACTATTTTTATAGTTTTTACTCCTTAGATTCTCTTACTCTCATTCTGTCTTTCTCTTCCTCTCTGTCTTCCTCTTTCTTTCCCACCCCTCACCCCATGGAACTAAGCTGAATTCTCTTCTAAATTCTCTCCTGAATTCTCCCCCTTACTGATTATTGGCCCATTTATAATATTCCCAGAAAGAATTTGGAAAGAAGAAAGAAGATGCATGGGAATAATCAAAAGAGGCCATGCATATTTATGTATTCATATTTTTATTTGTCACATTCATAAACATGGACTCTCAGGTTTTTCTGTTACTAAGTTTTATGGATCTGAAACAAAACTAGAAAGATTGTGGATTAGGGTTTTACTAGGGGAACAGATGTAATACAAAGGACAGATACAACACAAGATGTGCCAGTCACAGAATCGGATGAGGGAGACACTGAAGGATTCAGTCCCAAGGTCTGAAGCTCACTACAGTGATTCCATGAAAGTCTCTGTCAGTCAGCCACCGGGTCTGCAAAGGAAGGCTGTCGGCCATTGGATCCGCAACAGAAGGCTAGAAAATCTGCGACAGAAGCTGAAGGATCCAAGCCAGAGGCTGAAGAGTGTGCTGGTAGCCAGGAAATGACAAGCTGACTGCGAAGACTGAAGTTCCTCCAAGGAACTGACTCCTTCAGCCCCTTCACATCCCCTTTTTGTGCTGAGTGACTCTGGGGTAGGACCTCCCTGCGCCTTGGGGTGGAGCCCCCACAGCCCAGTGTGAAACCTCCAAGGTGATCCAGTCAAGTTGACACCGTGTATTGACCACTACAGTCCACCCCTTGTCAACTTGGCAACTAGACATCTTTTTTTCAATCAGTCTCCAGATACAGAGATTATGCATGTAATTGCACCTAACATTGTTATAACTATCTGGCGTACAAACAGAAACACTAATACCCTTACCAAAATGGTAAGTTTTCTTTGATTGTTGCTTATGCTTCAACATTAGCACAGGTTTAATAATCCTTAAGAACTGGTACTAAATCTATCCATTATATTATAAGAGAACCCTATATAGAGGTGAAATAATATAATTATAATCCCCTTTTCTGTAGCTGATCACAGGGTTGTAGCTGGTATTTGGAACTACCTGCGTTTACTACCCATTCAGTATTCCCTTGGCCTCCAGCAAGTACCTCGGCAGGTCTTGGTTCTTCCCCTGGTGGAGTGACCCTTACCTGCATTCCTCAAAGCTCTGGACCATTTGTCATTGTGTATTAGGTTGCTGCAGTTTCCCACTCACTTTAATAACGGTACGGCAATCCTAGGAGGCGCCCCAAGGGATCTCCTGCACTCTGTGTATAGTCTTCCTTTCCTCCACTGTGGAGTAGTAATCCAATTTCCCCTTGATAGTCTGGGTCAATCACCCCTGACAACAGTGTGACTCGCTTTTTAGCTTGTTTCCTCAGAGACATGAGGAGACCAAAGTGACCAAGGGGAAACCTTAGTTACTAGTTCAGTGGTATCATCGCTGTGCATCCTGGTACAATCCTTCCCCCCTCCGGGACTAGGGCTTCTAATCCAGCAGAACATAAGGTTGTGGGGTCAGGAAGCAAGAATTTTGTTAGTGGATCACTCGGGGTAATGGTGAGTGGTACCATTCCTACTCCCACCCCTTGATTCCTGGACCCATGAATCCTGGCTATGGGAGACACTGTGCCATATAGAGGGCGCTGGTTTAAGGTACATACAGACTTTTGAAGTACCTCGCCCCGGCCCTGCAAACTATTGCCACCTCACTGGCACTGTAACTGCGTCTTCAAAAGACCGTTCCACTTTTCTATCAATCCAGCTGCTTCTGGATGGTGAGAAATATGATAAGA